CTAATACCCACCTAGACAGAAGGACACATGCGATACCTGAAGGGCATAGCTGATGGAGAGTCTAATACCCACCTAGACAGAAGGACACATGCGATACCTGAAGAGCATAGCTGATGGAGAGTCTAATACCCACCTAGACAGAAGGACACATGCGATACCTGAAGGGCATAGCTGATGGAGAGTCTAATACCCACCTAGACAGAAGGACACATGCGATACCTGAAGAGCATAGCTGATGGAGAGTCTAATACCCACCTAGACAGAAGGACACATGCGATACCTGAAGGGCATAGCTGATGGAGAGTCTAATGCCCACCTAGACAGAAGGACACATGCGATACTGAAGAGCATAGCTGATGGAGAGTCTAATGCCCACCTAGACAGAAGGACACATGCGTTACCTGAAGAGCATAGCTGATGGAGAGTCTAATGCCCACCTAGACAGAAGGACACATGCGTTACCTGAAGAGCATAGCTGATGGAGAGTCTAATGCCCACCTAGACAGAAGGACACATGCGATACCTGAAGAGCATAGCTGATGGAGAGTCTAATGCCCACCTAGACAGAAGGACACATGCGATACCTGAAGAGCATAGCTGATGGAGAGTCTAATACCCACCTAGACAGAAGGACACATGCGATACCTGAAGGGCATAGCTGATGGAGAGTCTAATACCCACCTAGACAGAAGGACACATGCGATACCTGAAGAGCATAGCTGATGGAGAGTCTAATACCCACCTAGACAGAAGGACACATGCGATACCTGAAGGGCATAGCTGATGGAGAGTCTAATACCCACCTAGACAGAAGGACACATGCGATACCTGAAGAGCATAGCTGATGGAGAGTCTAATGCCCACCTAGACAGAAGGACACATGCGATACCTGAAGAGCATAGCTGATGGAGAGTCTAATACCCACCTAGACAGAAGGACACATGCGTTACCTGAAGAGCATAGCTGATGGAGAGTCTAATACCCACCTAGACAGAAGGACACATGCGTTACCTGAAGAGCATAGCTGATGGAGAGTCTAATACCCACCTAGACAGAAGGACACATGCGATACCTGAAGAGCATAGCTGATGGAGAGTCTAATACCCACCTAGACAGAAGGACACATGCGTTACCTGAAGAGCATAGCTGATGGAGAGCCTAATACCCACCTAGACAGAAGGACACATGGGATACCTGAAGGGCATAGCTGATGGAGAGTCTAATACCCACCTAGACAGAAGGACACATGCGTTACCTGAAGAGCATAGCTGATGGAGAGCCTAATACCCACCTAGACAGAAGGACACATGGGATACCTGAAGAGCATAGCTGATGGAGAGTCCGACAAGACCAGCGTTGATTCTGATCTTGATCTCCTCCTGGTAGTTCCTCTGAATGACGACAAAGAGGGCCGCAAACAGGATTATCAGGTTCCCCATGAACTCCAGACGAATGGCCAGCCACCTGTGTGTGTGTATGTACACAGCATAATGGACAGATCGTGAGACTCTGTAACTCTGTCAGACTGCCATAATATGGAACTCTGTCAGACTGCCATAATATGGAACTATTGAGGGTTTCACGAATTTGGAAGAGGCACATCTCTACATGGGGCAAGCAATGTGCAAACGCTTCCACCGTAAAAGATATTATGGCACCCAGTAAAAAGCATCAGTCTTCCACTAACGATGCAATACTTGAAAAAATCACTAACCCTCAGCACACATGCACAGCCCAAGAGGAGAATATGCCACTGAAGTGCTACAAAATGGAGGCTAAACACAGGCTTCAGCAACAATACTCTAATCTATACATACAGTGAAAGGTAATACAGTAGAGATATTAAACATTCAAGACCTGTTGGAGCAAATGGAGGGATAGTAGGCGAGTTGGTTGTAGTCCACCTGTTCCTCGCTCTGCAGGACGAAGCGTTGCTGCACGCGGTAGGCCCGAATGCTAGACACTCCCATGACGGACTCCTGGAAGTGGGAGTATATCGGAGAGCGCGTCGTCGACTCCAGTCGCTTCAGTTGACGCGACGTGGCCACATAGAACCTCTGCGAGTGCGAGATGATTGCACCAAAATAATATGCATACTGTGCATCCCTTGTAATGTACATACACATATGAACCGAACTTCATATGATGTTGATGCATCAAGAAAAATTTACGTATAATATACAACACCAAAATATAACTTGTGAATGAAGCACTCTTAAATGCAGTAGGCCATGATTCCATGGCAACCTTTAATGTCACACTTATGCTCACGTGCTTGCATAACTTGTGATTATATAACATTTTGCACTAAGTCTCTGTATGTGTACGTACCTGAATAATTGCATACAATATGAGTAGGGGTACAATGATGACCAGGAAAGGGGGTGTGGTCACCACAATGACAATCAGGGTTGCCATGACGCTGAGGAATGTGAAGATGAAGGAGCGTAGGGAGCGAGGAATGACCTCGTCTATGATGTAGGTATCCTTGGAGAACCGATTGAGGATTCGACCGAGTGGCGTGGTGTCGAAGAACGACATGGGTGAACGGAGGATGTTCTTGAGCATGGAGTTATGGAGGGTGCGAGAGGCAAAGATGGCCGACAGAGCCAGCGAGAAGGCAGCAAACAGAATGAGAAAAGACTGGATTATACCGAGTGCTCCGTACACACCGAGATAGCACCCACTCCTGTGGAGGGAAACAGTCAACCACTGACATGTGTAATGTACTGGATATTATGTATGATCACGTGCACTTGTTAATAAACAAACGCTGTGAGTGTAACCACCTGATTTTGAGATTCTGCGTGGGCCTCGGTGGTTTCAGTAATAACTCACCGTTGAGCAAGTGAGTTGAGACTATCGCAGGCCGTAACAGTCTGGTTGCGGTTTTCTGGGGTGTTGGAGTTGCTCCAGTCGGCCAGCCAGAAGTTGCTGGCAAGAGACGCGCCGTTGGTCAGGAGGTAGAACAGTATTGTCAGGAGACTTAAGGGGTAGGTGCACGCCCGAACATAGGCAAACAGGACGGACATGTGTACCTATATAGGCAAAGTAAGACCACACGTACATCACATGGTATTTTCTACATGTCTATACATCTATGATGCTAGGTACCAGCCCATCCCTATATACTATAAGTACTACTGTACTTAGTGATGCATACATACCCCCTCTACCTATAGGCAAAGTAAGACCACACGTACATGTCTATACATCTAGGTGCCATCCCTATATACTATAAGTACTACCGTACTTAGTGATACATACATACCCCCTCTACCTATAGGCAAAGTAAGACCACACGTACTTGTACCAGGAAGTGGTGGATATTCACAAGAGTGCTACACAATTATAATGTACGCTCACTCGCAAATTCTCTAAAGGTCAACTCACTGAACCAGTTTCAACTTTCTCCTGCTTGATCAGAGTCGACTTGTCGGTATGTTCAGCTGATGCCTTCTTCTCTCCAACCTCCGAACTCATCTAGGTAAGTATACATACACAGAGGTATATTATAGACGTGTATGTACACATTAAGAAGATTCTACACCTGCTACTGAAGACCAACCCAAGCACCCGCTAATGTCAATTATACCTGGACCAAGTCACACAAACATACACGTCTTTATAATATACCTGAATTGTAAGTGTACTCAATCACGTTTTTAAAGGGTATGTAAGTGCGTTCGTTGTCACCAACCTGTCTGGAAAGCTGTCGCTTGAGTTCAGACTTTGAAACGTGTCTCTTCCTCTCCTTCTTGTCCCTCGTGCTGGACTCGGAGATGCGTTTCTTCTCCAAGTGCTGCCCGTGGGCCCTGCGACGAGACCGGGTCTCCGGGTCGTCAGAGAAGACCGAGGGGTCAAGGGCGCCGTGAGAATCGCTCTGCTCAAGGTTCAGATTCTCCTCGCAATACTCTGTGTACTCTGACACACCTGGGTAACACACATAGCTCCCGTTTAAGGAACCCCTCAAATAAGGAAACCTGTCTATTAATGTCCCCAAGAACAGGCTTTTGTTGATCAAGAACAACTTTTTTAAATCAGGGGCACCCAACACAGGGACCAAAATAACAAAGAGAGATGAATGGCAGGCTGAAGGGCAACACAACTGTATTTGTTTCGTGAGACAAAAGTATGGGTACAATGGGTCCGTGCATTAAGCAATATAAAATACTTCCATTTTTCATGCAACATGATGCATGGACCCTGTACACCCATACACTGCAGTACGTTGCATGAGACTTTGTCAAAGTCGCACGCCGTATACAGTTGGCCGTTACTCACTGGGGGCATCCTCCCCGTCCTCCTCTCCCACCCCACTGTACACCCTGATGAACTCCGCGAAGGCTCCGTCTGCGTCGATAAGCTCTCCGTAAGACCCGATCTCCGAGATCCGGCCTCCGTTCATGACAACGATCTGGTCACACTGCGGGAGGTAGTTGATCCCGTGGGTCACCAGGATACGAGTCTGCGAGAATTGAAATTGAATTGGAACCTCTGAATATTGGACGGGGATTTTGTCCTTCCTTTATAGGGAGGTTAGTTGTCCTCTCTTTGGAGGTTAAACAATGTACTAGAGTGAACATTTGGCCCTCAAAGTGTGTCTTTGCAAGGCTTTTTTTAAAAAATTGTGTCCTTACATGGAGTGTCCTTTACCGAAGGTCTACTGTATAATGTATACATTGGCTCATATGTAAGTACCTTGTTCCGTATCATTCCCTCGGGTCCGATGACCTTCTCAAAGATGTGTTTCCCGACGTGGGAGTCGACGGCACTGAGGGGGTCGTCCAGGAGGTAGACGTCTGCCTCCTGGTAGACTGCTCTCGCCAGACTCACCCTCTGCTTCTGACCTCCGCTCAGGTTGATCCCCTGTACACGTGTACATGTGTGTTTGGTTACATACACAGTAGTATTGGACGTGTGTGTGTGTGTTTATTGGTAGGTTAATACCCTGCCATGCGTCAGCCATGCGTCAGGTATAGGAGGGTGGTATTGATATGACCCAAGATCTGTGTCATTCTATAAGAAAGTTTGTGTTGTTGTGAGGGATCCAGGAAAGCTTTCCCCCGCAAACTGAGACTTACGGTAAAATCAATCCCCGATACTCTTGTTTGCCATTACAATGTGGAACCCTGATAACCAACAGTTTCCTGCTACGTATATAAGTATATATACCTTTTCCCCGATCTCAGTTTGGTCTCCCCCAGGCAGGATCTCCAGATCTGGTTCCAGAGCACAGGAATGGAGAGTCTCGGAGTATTTGAGTCCCTGCATCGGCTGCCCAAACAGAATGTTGTTCTGAATTGTGGCGTTCTGGATCCACGCCTGCTGCGGTACGTAGGCCACCTGACCCTGACCCTGACCCTGACCCTGTGTGTGAAACAAGTTGGTGGGCTGGGGTTTAGCTTTAGCTGTTACTCGCGCGGTCTCTTGCCAGCTCGCGCAGAGTCTGACGTGGGCTAACTACACTACTAGATAGTATGCGAGAGGCGATACACGCCCTGCGTTGCATCTTCTGGTGCCTCCGAAGTACGCAGAGCACGCGGATCGATCCGACCGCGGTAAGCCATCTCGTCCGTTGTGCATTTGCAATATTGGCTTTTTGTGCTCTAGCTTTGCAACGGAGAAGTTTCAAAGAAACCGCTCCAAATTTCTGACCTTCATTGCCCGTTAAGTAGGTCGTATCCTTTGTGAGACGAACAAACACCCGAGAAGTGAGATGAGAGAGCTAACGCCAGACAAACATCACACACAGACAAACCCAACTACGTAAACCTCGCTGCGCATGCGCGCGAGGGTAATTAGCATATGTTGGTTAGGTACCTCTAACGCTATTCCAAATTAACAATATTCAGGTCACATTTCATTAAGTGTACAGCATCTACAATATCACACATTCCTTGCTGGCACATAATGAGTGCAAGCCCACTATAGGCACCCATCATCCTATAGGCACTACAGCGTCAGTGTATAGGCACCCAATGAATCATATAGCGCACCTCACAGTCCACACGCGACAAGCCGAGCAGTTTACACAGATTTCAGTGAGCAGAGCAGATACCCTAGTAAGGACCCGCAGACGACGCGGCAGTACGTAAACCATACGTTACCTTGCGCTAGGTGGCTGACCTTGCACCCAACGTCAGCAGGAGACTCAAAGGGCGTGACACGCCGGATTGCCATGTGGCTGAAATCCCATCCCTCCCGATTGCCACTCAATGATCACACCGGGACGGAGAACGAGACAGAGTAGGAGCCAAGCGATCAGCCGTTTGCTGTCCACACGTATACACTCTTTCCAGAGCTCTCCACAAATTGGACACTTCTGATCCCACCAGCTGGTGCGAAACACATAGGATTGTTTGGCCGCAGAGAAAAATGCCGCTAATCCTGAGTAGTTAACCGAGTGGTCCGAACAGCACAATTCCAAGATTCAGCTGTCTTTCAACCGCACATGTATGCGTTCTTTATGAGAAAATAAAAAAAACAAAAACACACCACCTCAAAAAAACCCTCTCAGCATGCATTGCACAGCGAGGTTACAAGTACTTGGTCCGTCTGCTGTCTAGTCGACACCTATTCTGACACAGGCTATGTGGCGAATACCAATGACTCAGCTATGAGGCAGGAAGGAAAAAATAAAAGGCAAACAGTAGACTAACAGCGTGAAACACGCACGTGAAAATCCAACGAGTGTACTTCTGGATGTATTAGAAATGACAATTGTTATGCGGAGAGCAACACGTCATGCCGATCATGCCCTCCGTACGAGGTAAAGGTTTAGACAGTCGCGACGATGCAGGAGGGTGTGCAGCCAGCCTCCTCCACTGCAATTGATGGCAATGTGTATATGAGAGGAGCAACCACGGCAAAGAGTTACACCACGCAAGCTGCTGTTTGCCTTGAAACATTTCAGCGACTTATGTCCCTTCCAGTACACGTAACGACTATAACCTGCAGATTTCTTGTGTGTGCTGAGTCACCATGTTAAGAAATCAGGTAAG